GCAAAGTATTAACATCAAGGCAGTTGAGTCCCTAGAGGAATGTCACTCTGTTTCAAGGACTTGTCAATGGGCTGTAGGTAGTAAGGAAATTTAGTAATTTTTCTTCTACCTTTGTTTCCCACATTAGTTGTGACAGAGACTATATAGCTCATAAAGCCTATCTGGCCCTTCACAGAAAAAGGCTGCTGCCCCTTAGCCTAGAAGATACTGTTTCAAAATAGGCACTCAAATTTTTGTTGAATGAATACAGCCACCATATCCAAGTGTCTCAATGCCCTTACTCATCCCTTCTGAGCAACAGCCCATAACCGTCATAGACCACTAGCTGAGGACACTACCAGTGGAGTCAACAGAGTTATTAGGCTGCCATTCCACTGAAGCTCATGCAGAAAAGTTTCTAAAATAAAACACTCTTTTGGAGCTATAAAACTAAAGGTGAATCTTTAGAGTGTCACTTGTATCTGCTTTGGTTCTTTCTCTTGAAATCGCTGAAGACTATTTTTTCATGTGGTTCTTCCAAAGGGCTCCTAACCTCTGATCACAGATTAGCACTCAACATAGGACAAAAGCAGTGCATATAAGAAAATCCTTAAAATCATCTTCAGGGGGGCGCCTGGGTGGCTCAGTGGGTTAAAGCCTCTGCCTTCAGCTCGGGTCATGATCCCAGGGTCCTGGGATCGAGCCCCGCATCGGGCTCTCTGCTCGGCAGGGAGCTTGCTTCCCTCTCTCTCTCTCTCTCTGCCTGCCTCTCTGCCTACTTGTGATCTCTGTCTGTCAAATAAATAAAATCTTTAAAAAAAAAAATCATCTTCAGGGACATGGAAAATATTTTGCACAATAATTGGTTAACCTGGGGGCATGTGTTTGGCTCTGGTCAGCAGAGCATGAGACTCTTGATCTTGGGGCTGTGAGTTCGAGCCCCATGTAGGGTGTAGAGATTACTTAGAATAAATAGAATCTTTAAAAAAATTATTGGTTAACCTAGACTGCCCCACTTTTGGTAACTTTAACTTAGAATTCATGAGAATCCCTACCCAGTTCAGTCCAAGATCTGGCCCAGAACTTGGGTACTGGGAGTTTGCTTCTCAAACTGATCAAGGACACATGACTCACAGAAAACTGAGAACAAATTAAAACCATATACAAATGGAAAGATTTCTCCTCACATTGAGAAACTGTAAAGATCTCAGGTAAAAGAATCCTTGTAGTGCCACATATGAGGTTGACCCTGATCACATGGGTAAGGTAGTGATTGTCAGGTTTCTCCATTGTCCAGTTACTTCTTTCCATACTGTACATTTAAAAAAATGTTTATTTTAGAGAGTGTGGGGGGAAGGGGCAGAGGGAAAGGGAGAATCCTCAAGCAGATACCCCACTGAATACAGGGCCTGCCGACCTGGGGCTTTGACCTCACAAACCTGAGATCATGATCTGAGCTGAAGCCAAGAGTCAGCTGCTTAACCCACTAAGCCTCGATGTGCCCCACTGTACTCTTAACTATACGGAATGAACTGATGGTTACCAAAGGGCAGGTGGACGGGGGAAATGGGTGAAATAGGTGAAGGGGATTAAGATGCACTTATGATGAGCACTGAGTATAGAATCATTGACTTACTATATTGTGTACCTGAAACTATTATTACACTGCATGGTAACTACCTAGAATTTAAATAAAAGCTTTTTAAAAAAAAGACCTAAGCTGTCCATATTGACTTGCTTTCAAAGAGTACAGTAGGCCCTTTTTTTTTTTTTTTTTTTTTTTAAGAAGTGGGGCATTATATTCCATCCCCTTACACAATTGGGAATTCTGCATGGGAAATTTCTCACTTCTCTCCCTTTGTTTATTCAATCATTTACATCAGGAAGTACTCATGAATATTTATTTTAATTTTGAATTATAATTTATACTCCAATAATAGTTTATTTTGTTACTCAAATTGTCCCAGCTTTGGCCACTAGTTGGACCAATTTCTTGGCTTCCCTTGGTCTGGAATGTTCCTTTGCCTCTTACTCTTAAGAGCAAGCTTGAACTCTACTTGCTCTTCGGGATTCAACTGTTACTTCCACCAGGAAAATAATTCCTGATAACCACTCCTACTCCCAGCCCTTAGTATCCCACCATTCAGGTTATGTTACTATATAACTCTAAAATTTATGCCTACTATGGTACTTATACACTGTCTACATATCTGTTTCTCCCACTGGACAATAAGCTTTTTGAGATGAGGGATCATATTTTATTTTATATGCCTAGTATGTAGTGCCTCACTTACACAAAGCAGGATCTCAACAAGTACTTCTAGAACAATCACTATGGTTTTTCTCTTCAGTCCAAAAACCCAAGAGTGCCCCACATAAACCAGAAGCCACAGAGAGGTTGGTAACTATCGACTCTGGGAGGAACTATAAGGTGTTACTATTGTATTTAATGTCATGTAACAACAGGCTCAGCATCTAAGTTAACACTGCCTTAAGTCTCATTTCTAAGTAAGCAGACTTTTCCTATAAATCCCTGTTACATTTGAGTAATTACACTCAGGTCAATCGCCAATACTTCTATATTCAGAACCAAGGCTAAGTATCTTCTAGTTCTGAGACTGGAGAAGTGGGGTTCCCAAGACAGCACACAGACATTCTAGCCATGAGGTTCTCAAGAGCCACACTTGTGGTTGAAGATTTGCTGAGTTGTATTCTTTGTTGCCACAAATTACTGTGAGAAAATGACTTTAATCAAGAATCTTCCAAGATACAGGAATTAAAACTATGGCAAACTCCATCAAGATGAAATAGGTTTTTAGGTTGGATCATGCTACCACTTCAGTTGAAGCCACCATTAACTCCTGACTCACCTTTCTAATAGCACTCTTGTTCTTATCTATCCATTCACCATAAAGCAAAGTATGTCATTCCACTTAAGCCTTCCTATTAACTGCTTCTATAACAAAATTCAAATTCTCAACCATACCCTAGAAGGCCCTGCACATCTGCTGGCTTCCCCTACGCCCTCAAACTTACACTGTGCTCATCTCTTCCTTGCTTAATGGTCCAGCCACGCTCATCTTTCTGAAGTTGTGGCTCAGTACCACAAATTTTTTGATGTCTAGTAACTAAATTTTCTCAGAAGAATTTTACAAAGTTCTTCAATCTTTAATGTGTCTTAAGTAGAAGTTGTGTGCCTGAGAATAAATTCAACCATGTCTAAGAAACCCCTGCAAATCCACTGAAATAAAGATGAGGTTAAAACATGAAGACCCATATTTTTGAGTTAGAAGTTCTTCTGGGGTTAAAATGTACATTATTGTTAATTTTTATTTAACTATTGTGTTATTCTTCCAAGGAATAGTGATATAGTTTGATGCTGACATCTTTCAAAGACTCAAATTTAAAAATGATTTCTCACTATTTGTAAGAAAAAGTTAAAAACACAAATTTAAGCACTGCCTTTTAAAAATAATAATTTATTTAGAAGTTGAGTCCCTTTGATAACTAATAAAGGTAACTTACTGTATCCTTCCACACATATGGAAATTAACATGACCTTACAACAGCTTGAAATAAATAAATAAATATAAAATAAATAAATAAATAAATAACAAATAAATAAATAATTTATTTAAAAGTTGAGTCCCTTTGATAACTAATAAAGGTAACCTACTGTATCCTTCCACACATATGGAAATTAACATGACCTTACAATAGCTTGAAATAAAACATTAAAAAAAAAGTCAGACCAAATTAAAAACCATAGTAATCTTTTATTTAAATGCATTCAAAGAGGCGTTAATTCTTTGCTTCCCATTTTGATGATTTTCTGAACATATCTGCTTAAGTTCTTTAAGTAAAGAATCTACATTTGAATATTCTTCCTGCATCTTTGCAAAAGGTCATTCATTCATCTTAGAAATGAAGGATGCCTAACATTGTTCTGGTTGACAGGTGTAATTTTTGAATGATAGTGACCTTTCCTTTCAAAATTGAGTCCAAAAGTTTATCAGGTGCTTCACTCCCCAAAATGAATAAGATATAATTGTCGTGAAGCTCTGCAAACTGAAAATTTCACCTAAGTTTGAGGCAAATTCATTCGGTGGAAAAAACTGTCTGAATTGATACAAGACTATTTTTAACCCTTATTAATCTCATATAATGTAAACATTCATACATTTTGCTACAAATATTAATGTACTTGATATCAGAGTGTTGCTCCAGACTCTGTTGGATGGTGTTATGTAATATACAGTATATGTACTTTATTACTTTTCTAAAATTCAAAAAGTTCTAAATTCCAAAATGCATTTGACCCGAAGGTTTCAGATAATGAAATAAGAACCCAGTAATTTTGAGTGTAGAGGGATACGGTGGGATATTCCAATTACCCTTACCATTCATGTATTTGTCCATATCAAGCTTCTCCACGCGTCTGTTTTTATAAAATATGTGTGGGGTATAATTCTGTTTTTATCTATTTCTAAAAAGTGCTCACACACTTCACAATACTTTTGCTTGACCTGCTACTCAAACTACTAATTTATTCCTTTTTACAAACTGAAAACAACATAAAATTAACTAGACAGTCTAAGATATTATATGGCTTGGTAATTGGGGAAATTGGGCTTCAAATTCTTTTCCTGCTACGTCTGTGGATACTTTCCTGCTACAATGGCAGAGATGCATAATTATAGCAGACACCACATGATCTTCAAAGCCTAAAATAGGCTATCTGGCCCCCTTTCCAGGAAGTTTGTTAACCCCTGCTCAAAGTCAGGGTGGACAGCTGAGGATGTCCAGCTGAGGATGGTACTAATATCTAAGACTATCTGATAGCTACGATTTAACAAACTGAAGGTGGTTTGTCTACATTTAGGGCTTAAAGTATGTCTAGGCAACACTGCAAAGGCAGAGAAAACAGCTGCCACAGACTGATATTCCCTTCCTGGTTTTTTAATTAATTAATTAATTAATTAACATAATTTCTGCACCCAACTTGGGGCTTGAACTCACGACCCTGGTCACATGCTCTACCAACTAAGCCAGCCATTCCCTTTCTGTGTGAATGTGGTCTCAACTGGTCAAATGTTAGATCCATGGCCAGATCCAGAGGGACTGAAGTATGGTATTTGCTGATGATATAAATCTGGTCAGAGAATGAATATGTAAGGTAAAGTTAACCAATTTTCCCACCTACTATAAACATTACATTCCCTGCAAGGGAATCCATCTATCTTTGCATTTATGTTGATACACAGAATTCAAAAGAGGTTGGGAAATAAGAACCTTACAAATTATTCATAGTTCATGTGTGTGACTTCTTGAAAAGATTATCTGTTGCCATCTTTGACAAAGACTTTCACAGTTCAACTGTGGCTCAATAAACTTTTATTATTTTTTTGTTATTTATTTTTATTCAAAAGAATTTCTTTCCCTATCACAAAAATTAGATAACCACACCACCAACAGCAGCAAAGTCCATAGAGTTACATTGATGGTGGAGAGTTCACTGGGTAGTCCCAATGTCCCAAAGGTCATGAAGGAGAAAAGAAAAGGAAAAGAAAAAAATACTCTAAACAAATCCAAAACCCATGATGACTTTGGGGAGAGACATTACATGACAGTTTCTGTCTTCTCTCATTGTCAGCTGCAGATGTATTTCAGCAGGATCAAACACAATTTAACTTGAGTAAACCCTTCATACCAACTCCAGCACCTAATTGGGGGAAGAACAAGAAAAAAAGGATCAGTTTGATATAATCATTCTGAAATATGGAAACAGTTTAATGAATCTTTACTGTACCGTAAATGGAGAACCATATCAAGAAAACTTTTCCTAACTGCTAAAATGCTAAAGAATTTGAAGGGATTAGACATGGATCCTTCCTTCCTTTCAATTCAACAGTTGCATGAACTCTTTCAGATTAGTTAGATCCACAGTTAACTAGGGAGCCTTTAAATTACATAAAACATATAGATAAATGAACCAGGTGATAGAATGGTTTTGAACTTATGCTTGTAGCTTTCCATATTCTAAAGAAAATGTTAAGTATTGCTGCTCAGGATTTTAATCTATTTATTTCTTCCACTGATAAAGAGTTTATAGCAATCAAAAACATACAGGATCTAAAATCTCGCCTTTTCCTAGTGCTTCATTCATTTTCTAGTCAATCATCTGATGTCAAGGTATTGTGTTAGTTATTAGAGTTCAAGTCCTATCTTGTCATACGAAAAGTTGTCCTACTGCTAAAAGTAAAAACGAGCAGCAGCAGCAATGATAAGTTATAAAATAGTTGAAGAAATGTCTAAGAAAGGACACAGAAGCTGAGGACAATAAGACACTGTCAAAAGGATTATGTTATATGGAGACTGCAATTCTAGGTGGCAAAGAACTAAAGGAGCAACTTTTCCCCTCCTGCTGTGCTAAGGCTTAACTTGTACCTGTGCTTCCAGGATGCTTTTTGTCTTTATATTTGGCAAGTAGCCAATTTAATAAAAGAGGTCAATGCCACTGAACAAAACCTTGAGCTGTCACTGAGGTTCTGTAAGTACATGTGTAGTTTTGAGCTTCCTGCAGATACGTTAGCAATCTCAATTAAGTCCAAACTTGCTGAAGAATAAGGTGCAGCTTTTTCAAGACATGCCTTGCCACGAGAATAAAGCAAAACTGAGAGACTCAGAGAGCCATGTAAAACAGAGATTCCAAGACCTTCTACCATCTTTCTTGAGATTCCAGAACATAACACCAATCAGTTCAAAAGTCTGGCTTTCATTCAAGTTGTCCATGGCTCTCTAGTGAGGCTTTCCAAATAAAGAAACTAGCTGAAGAAAAAGGAGTGTACATGTAAATCAGTTTAACCAGCTAACGGTGCAGTTCTGCTTTGAGTTTACTTAATTCATTTCCATAGGACAATGTGTTAGGCTTAGGTTTGCTCCCTTGGTTGCTGGGTCATTTTCCACTTGGGATGAGTGGAAGGAAGCCACAGCAAAATTAATGCTAAGTGGCAGAAGAAATAAATAAACATCATTTTTAAAAGACCACTTCCTGCTATTTCTCTGTCAGCAGAGAATATGTAGAAAGAACAGACACCCACAGAATTAGTGCTAATCAAACTCATGTACTAAAACCCCTACCCCAAATGGTGTTTTATTTAAGAAGTTCCCTGCTCAGCTCGGGATTTATCTAGTGTGTCATGCTCAAGTGCTAAATATCCAATAGTATAATCAGATAACATTATTAATTCCGTAAGCTCCTAACTACAAAGAAAAGTATGTGGAAAGCTATGTATAAAAAATTTGTGACTGTATGCCAAGAGACATTTGAATTTCCAAATTACACTACTGGAATGATCACATGATCGATTTTCAGTGAAACACTAAAATACCTTTTCTTCCCTTGGCAACTGAGGAAAACCCTACTTGTCAGGGAATAAAAGGAAGACAAACACGAGGAAAAGAAGAGTAAAATAAGACCAGATATTTTTTAAATCCGGTGAATGTCTAAGCATCCCATGCTTTATCTTGGATTTTGTCCACTGAACACACCTGCATAACAGAAGCAGCAGTGCTTGGCCCACAGTGAATACTTAATAGTCTTCATCCATTTTTCATTCTGACCAGCTATCAATCTATCTGATGTTCATATAACCTCCCCTCAAAGCCATTTTACATGGACAGAGACCATGACGTGGAATGATCTCTAAGGCTTAGTACAACTCTGCATTTCCATGTTCTAGTCTGTTAGAGTCTAAAAACGGATCTGAATTTAAAATGAAGATGTATACCATGGCTTACCTTAATCGTACCCTGACTGTTAGCAGCAATCAGCACATTGGACTCCTAGAAAAGAGTAAGGACTTTTAATGTACAGAAGGATTTCCTGGAGGACAGTCCAAGAGAATAATTTCCTTTCATCCTTCATTTCTCATTTCACCCCAGACATCAATAGAATCTAAAGTGGAGAACCAACTTTAACATGTTTTAACTACCGATTTTAAAAGAAAATCCCAAATTTTGAGGATTAAGTTTGAACAAGAAAAATAAAATTGAAAACAGAGTAGGAAAATTTCAAATGTAAAGAAAAACAGATTACCACTGGAAGGAAAATAGGAGAAACAAAGGTTGAAATAAAATGAAAAAATGAGAGTAATTTGAGAAAAACAAAGTTATTATAATCCTTTCCACAGAAAATTCTCCCTTCATTCCCCTTCTCTCATGAAACAATTGATACAATTGATATAAATGTTGTCAACATCTCTGGCATAATCTCTTTGGGGAGCTATCTGGTATCAGGAAACCACCAAAAAAAAAAAAAAAAGTGACTATTCATCTGGCAGAAGAAAGGCTATGTTTCCTTTTAATTATTCAATCATTCAGTATATGCATTTTAATAACTTTGGTGATTACTTCAACAGAATTTAGCTATTTAACATATCTATTACATTCTAAGCCTTAGGGGGAAAAAACATTTCTCTAAAGAGTAGGAAGGGTGGGAAAAGGAATGGATAAGACTGAGTTTAATTAAGTAAGAAGAATTGGGACACGCTTCTTATTAGAAACAGGGAGTCTAGTAGGACTCTGGAGCTTGGAAGTACACAGAAGTCTTTTGGCTTCAAAACAAAGTGAGATAGAGAAAGAAAAGAAAGAAATTGACTTGTATGCCAGGAAAGCCAATATGAGTTAAACTTAAGTTTCTTCGTATAAGACATCTGTGCTCTACAAACTTATACATTCCTATTTTTTAACTTTTCCTTTGATTCTTAGTAAAGTGACTTTAAAAAATGCTCATCTGGTTGCTAATGGTGTAAGAGAAAATAAATAATTTCTTCCACTATCCCCCAAATTTTGGGAATCCGAATATTCCTTGGATGTAGTCAATGGTAACATCAATGGTCATAGCAGTATGACAAAGTAATACAAAGATGTTTTTTCTGGGGGTGAGCATGGGAATCACTGATGATGGGGTTCAGGAAACACAGCCCAAAATATGGTACCTTGACATATTTGAATATTTTAAGCTAAAGGAGTCTGAGAAAACAGCAGAAGCAGGAAAGTCACCCTGACCTCCCACTCACTCTATCCTTTTCCCCTGAAACAGGTCATAAAACCCTCATGCGAGAGGTGCTTTCCCTATTCCCAGAGTAAAGAAACATCATTATCTCCAAAGACAAAGGGATTCCAAGAAGAATCTTAATAGAACTTGCTAAGTTTCTCCCAACTTTCAACAATTACCTCATACTCCTTAATCTATCCACATTTCTACACCACAACCCACTCTTCATCACACCTAGCATAAAATACAAAGGTCTGTTTATTTGGGTCGCCATTTCCTTATGAAGGTTCTGACAACATGTAAAACTTCTATTAGATCATTTGTATGGTTTTCTCCTGTCAATCTGTCTTGTATACTTTTTAGATCTAGTCAGGGCCCCTAAGAGAGTTAAGGAAAACTCTTTCTTCCCCTACACTGATATGTTCCTGGCTGAGGTTTTCACTTAAATCAGCACCTGTATTTTTGAAAACAGTAACACAAGTAATAGAGTACCCACTATAGAATTAGTTTCAATATTTTACTTTGGGGAATTACAGGCTACTTCTGGACCAAATGAGTGTAGAATTAATACTTCCATATAGGACTGAGGGTGGGGTTAGTAGACAGAGATAAATTTGAGATTTATTTACTCTTTTAGCTACCGGAATTAAGAAGCTGGCTGGAGAGAATTTGGAGTATCATTAAGGAATATAATAACTCACTCTGAGCTGGTCAAAAGGCAGAATTTTTATGCCTGCCTCAGAAAACAAAAGAAGCATGGTATGGTACCATGCGGATTTCTTTCTAGAAAGAATTTTAAACAAGCTATGTGATATCACAACTGTCACCAGTGGACCCAGAAATGATTCTTCCGTGAACACCATCCAGGAATGAAGCTACAAACAGCAATGATCAATCTAATTTCTGCTTGAGGAATGACTCCAGTATCTAAGAAGGCAACTGCCACCCATCATTTGATGTTGCAGTCACTGAGAATTGCTCCCTCTGCTGTGGGAACAAACAATGTCAGGGTGGTGAGAATTTATAGCCTAAGGCACTCTCTCTCCCACTTTGGTCCTAGTCACCTTTAATACAAATGAAGAAGGTGGAGAAAGCTGGTGGAGAAAAGGACTCAATCCTGGGGGAAGAGAGGGATCTACCTCTACCAGTTATAGACTTTATGAACTCTATAATTCATAGTTCTAATTCTTGGTGGAAGGAAAGCTTAGAAAAGCATGGTATATTATCATACAGTATGAAAAACTGGGCTTAATATAACTAAGAGAATCTAATCTAGTTAGAGTATCACATAAGAGGAGTTTGAGGTTTACACAATTACTAAGCTAAACCCAAGAAGGAAGATATCTGATAGCTCTCCGAAATGAATAATATAGTCTCTAACCTCAGGACTATTATGGCATTAAAGATGGTACCATATTACATGCTACCAAAGGGTTAACTCTATATCTTTTCCTGTGGAAATACACATTTCATTTACAAATAAGTCAACACACCTGCCCAGCTGGCATTGTTTTTTTTGGGGGGGGCTCATATATAGGTGACAGGTGTCCCAATTTCTTTGAAATACTCAAAACTATCCAAAGTAACAAACAATGAAAGAAAAACAGCTTTACATCTCAGTATGCCCCTCCCTGTATAGACCATGAACTTTTATTTTTTATAAAGATTTATTTATTTTAGAGAGAGAGAGAGTGAGTGCATGCCAGAGTGGGTGTGGAAATGGGTTAGGGGCAGAGGCAAAGGGAGAGAGAATCCTCAAGCAGACTCCTTGCTGAGTGGGAAGCCCAACACAGGGCCTTATCCTAAGACCCTGAGATCATGACCTGAACCGAAATCAAAAGAGTCAGCTGTTTAACTGACTGAGCCACCCAGGTGTCCTAAGACCATGAACTTTTAAAGGGATTTAGGATTAAACTGTCTTTTAGCCAAATATTAGCATAAGATAAATTAACTTTTGCATGCATTAGAAAAATAAAACCAGGTATTTTACTTCAGCATAGAGGTATAGAAGTGATAAGCACAAGATTATTACTACAGTTTTTTAATGATTCTTGTTTACATTTTGAATCACTGGTAATTCTTAGCTGTAGCTAAAGTCTGCTATAGCCTTAATGTATGTAAGTTCTGGCTCAGTGGGCTGCTTTTACTTGCTAAATAAAATAAAAGTGCCAGCCAGTAAGTCTCATTATTTTTTTCCTCTCCACCTTAAAAACTGGCAGTTTAGACATACCGAAAAAAAAAAAATGGCAGTTTTGCTGCAAAACTCTGCTCAGGGTTAAGCTAATCATGTACCTACTATTTTCTTAATACAGAGAGATTTTTTTTTTTTAAAGATTTTATTTATTTATTTGTCAGAAAGAGAGAGAGAGAAAGCACACAAGCAGGCAGAGAGGCAGGCAGAGGCGGAGAGAGAGGCAGGCTCCCTGCTGAGCAAGGAGCCCGATACGGGACTCGATCCCAGGACCCTAGGATCATGACCTGAGCCTAAGGCAGCGGCTTAACCCACTGAGCCACCCAGGCGTCCCAATACAGAGAGATTTTTAAAAAATAATGGAAAAAAGAGCAGTAAGTCTTTTATAAAAACAGAAGACATATACACAAACATAATACCAACTTGCTTGAAGCCATTGATACTATACTAAGGTATACTGAAACAAAACTAAAATCTACTGGAACAATTTTCTCTTTGCTAGCTTGCTTATAAAAAGTGCCATTATAACTAATATGTTACAACGCTGAGCAAGCTCGCTTAGTTTGCAATTGGAGGATTTATTCTTAGAGACTGACAGAAATGATTCTGAATGTGAAATGATTTTACTATAGAAATTAATATGGTGGGGAGGCCTGGGTGGCTCAGTCGGTTAAGCGTCTGCCTTCAGCTCAGGTCATGCTCCCAGGGTCCTGGAATCGAGTCCACACTGGGCTCCTTGCTCAGAGAGGAGCCTACTTCTCTCTCTGCCTCTGCCTGCTTGTTCTCTCTCTCTTTCTCTCTCTCTGACAAATAAGTAAATAAAATCTTTAAAAAAAGAGAGAAAGAAATGAATATGTTAAAAAATAACTTCCATTTATGGCTTGAACAGAATAAACAGAATGGATTTGCTGTCCTGCTATAAGCAACTAGAAAACCGAACAAAATATTTAAGACAACACTGGGTAACAGGCCGTATTGGACTATGATCCTTATAAGAAGGTGAGTCCTCTAATTACCCTGGCTTTCTGCTTGGAGGCAACTTCCGAACTGCAAAGCAAGAAGGGGAATTCAAACAGGAATCTACAGGCAGACCATAGCAGACTTACTAAGCTGAGGAGACAGGAACAAGTTCAGAATATCTGTACTGCAGCTGGAGTTTGTAGGGCCAAGTACCACAGGAGAAAGCAAAAGCAGCACTCCAGGAATCTGCATGGGGGTCTGTCTCCTTGATTGTATGTTGTTATAATAAACTACATATAAACAGGGTTAAACTAAACAAGGCCAGGAAAATAACAATGAACAGGGGAAGTACAACTATTGACAATCTATAATAACATTATCAAATACCAGACTTCACACGGAGTTAGGGGATGTTTGAGCTTTGAGCAGCCATAGTGAAGAAACCTCCCTGAACATCTACAACATTCAGCAGAGTACCCAAATGGGCCATGTCTTGTTAGGAAGGCTAAATTAGCCTTAAAGTAAATGGTTCTCTAGACCAGGGATCAGCAAACTATCGCTTATAGGCCAAATCTAGCCTAATGCCTGTATTTGGTATTTAAGTCTTAATGGAACGTAGCTGTGATAATTTGATTA